ATGCAGCTGATTTGACCATTAAAGTGCATTTATTAAGGAAAAGTTCAACTAAGACCTTTGCTATAATGTTGAGCAAACAAATAATTGTTTTTAAATGCTAATCTTGTTAAATTCTTGTTAAAGTCCTCCTGTGAACGTTCCTGTGGCCACCATTTGGTAGACAATAGATTTTTGGCACAACACCGGTCCACATTTACGGGGTGTCAGTAGTGGCGCGTAACAAACGTGACGCGTCACCAGTGATGCATAATAGATGCTACTTATATATCGAAGCGACATATTTACGTTTTTTCCACTTTATTAGACCTATTTGGACTGATGCGAGTTTCTACATTTGCCTTATAATCTGTTTTGCCATATTTTGCTAGCTTTTGTTAATTCGTAAAAAAATAATAATCTGTATGCCTCTTTTATGATTGTTTATTGTTGTCGCTGTTGTCCATTGTTGTCATCATTCTTTGTTGAAACCAGGTCTCTCTTGTAAATGAGTCCTCGAGGCTCAATGGGATTAACCTGTCTAAATAAAGGTTGAATGAATACAGCGGTGCGACGTATATGGTGGCAAGTATGGTACACTAAATTATAATTTTTGTGTCCTTTATATTTTAGCGTTTGCTTGACAAGTTGTGGACACCATTTAAAGTAACAAAAGTTTAGCCACATTTTCGATAAAACAAATGCTGTTCTTCATCATGCATACACAAAAAATGAACAAAATACCATTAACCATAATCATAAATTCTAATAGCACATCGCCCCTTTATGTCAATGAATGTCCCACTAATTAATTACCAGAGCAAGAATAAAATCTTGAAAATGCTTAATATTGACAAGTCACATCGACTTCTATTACTTATCCCACACAACATAAAAAACAATCCTATAGTCAGTTAATGGATCCAGTGCACATATAAATAACAAGTGACTTCTTATTTTAACATGAGGTAGTTATTTATTCATTAGCAAATAACTTAATATTATGCACTATAATTTGCAAACACTGTGCATACCATGAGCAGTCGTGATGCTGGGATTGATCAAATTGATGTAAAAGTGGGCAGATTCTTTGATGTACTTACTGCACAGCTCTCCATGTCCTTCACACACTTATATAAAACACACACACACACACACAAACAAAAACTAACGCGTTTTCAATGAACTAGTTGGATTTAGGATCTACATTGGTGATTATATATTCATAGATCAATCAATACAGAGTCTAGCAGGCGAAACATGTCCACGCAAGCAAACACACAGTTCATCACAATGTGGGAATCCTAATAAGTATTGGAACGTGTGTGTGTGAGTGTGTGTGTGTGCGCAAACATCAATACACTGCAGCTTTACGTTTCATTAGGCCAGGAGAACAGTTTAACTTCTAATGAGTAGCAATAAAACTGCACAGCCTGTAACCATGTGCTCTTCTCCTTCATCTGTCTAATCCCAGTTTCCTTCCTTTTCTCAGTCCCTACAAACTTTGTTTTGCCTAAAACAAGTTAAGAAATTTAAAATTTGTCTAATCTTCTCGAAACAACTTAATTTAATACTAAACTTGTCGCCTTCTGTGTTCCAAGGAAATAAAACTTAGACACTGAGAAACTAGAGTGGCTGCGGCGTGAATCACGGGTGATTTATTGTAATTGACATCCCGTCTTGCCGTTCCTCTGTTCATACAGACGACTACATTTCACTGCAGCATCTGCATTGATTTGTGTGAGGGACACTGGCAACCTCTACCTCCTTGTTCACCTTCTTCCTTCCATCCCTGAGCACAGGAAGATATGCCGGCTGAGGGGAAATGGGATTCCAATCAGTGGGATATCATCTAGGATCTGCTGACCCCCACACTCTCAACAGACACACAAATCATCTGCCTGCACATGCAGCCACAGACGTCGTCTAGGGGTCAATTGCAAGGACTAGCGGGCTATGTTTCAGTCGACTTCGCAAAACTCAAATGACAGGAAGCTGTGTGTCTGCATGTGTGCGTCTGCATGTTTGTTGCATTTTGCATCTTATTTTAGCCCATATAAAAGTAACTTTACTGCAGAAGGTCACTCGCAGGCTGCAAAAATGAACTGAAATAGCCAAAACTTGCATCTAGAACTGCATCAGATGATTTGTTCGAGTTTCATTAAAATATATTAAGGAGTAACTAATAGTGTGATGTGTAACTTGAAACCATCTATAAATAAATAAAGGGCCTAGCTAACTTTGGAAGAATCCATATTGCTTGCCACCTTATATGATAAAGTTTTGACTAAGGGTACACAAAAACAAACATACACACCCTCACAAATATGGACAAAAATAAAAAAAAGATAGTCGCTCCACTTTCACCTTTGTTGGCAAGCTATGACAGAGGGCCGCGCTAAGAACAAAAATTATTAAAAGCCATAATATTATGAGAATAAAGTCGGACGAGACTTGGTTTTTTTTTTGTTTGTTTTGTTTTTTACAGCTCTCGCTTATTATTATTTTTCCACGAGTTGGATCCACGACGCGACCTGTCAATCAATCCAGTAGGCGTGTCAGAAAATGATCAATCCGAAGCTAATCGCTCCTATAAGTGAGTTTCTGGGTCTCTTCAGCCTTTTTCTGGCAAATTTACAGAGATGTGCACACACAGTTTCGCTCACAGAGCACTGTTTTTAAACAGAAACAAAAATGAAAGTCATGATGTAATGTCGTAAAGACATAATGATGTAATTGCGTCACGTATAAACATCCCAGAAGCAGCACACAAAAACACAACAGTAGGTGGCAGTACTGGAACATGTTTTGAGTAAGAGCGTCAACAACGATAAAGTTTAACAAACTTCTTCATTTTACCAGTTAAAATGCGATAAACCTGCTTTATTGTGTCGGAGTTCGGATAATATAACAACTCTTAGCTTCAGATTGGTCATTTGCTGACACGCCTACCGGATTGACTGACAGGTCGTGTCGTGGCTTCGACTCGTGAGAAAAAAATTAACCGCAGCTGTTAAAAAAAAGTCTCCTATGACTTTATTCTCGTAATATTAAGACTTTAATCAATAATATTCTAGTAATATTATGATTTATTCTTGTAATTTTATGGCTTTTCATTTTTTTTTCCTTAGCGTGGCATTTTTTATTTATTTATTTATTTATTTTTTTTATTTTTTTTTGGCGTGGTCCCAAAGCACCATCGTAGCAGGCATTAAGAATTGCTCTTGAGAATTTTCTAAAAAAAATTTGTGTAAGTTAGCTGTGAAAAAACACTGACATCTGAATACCGTAATTTACAGACTATTGTGCGCACCAAAATATTAGCCACACCCACTTAATTTAAACAGAAAAAAATGTGTACATATATAGGCTGCACTTGTGTATAAGCCAAAGGTGTCTACGTTGTAACATGACATACTTACACAGAAAGATTTTTTAAACTTTTAATTAAATATGCATCAATAACATACACAAATATGTACAATAATTGCTTTTCTTTCTGAAGAGTGCCTGTAACACCGCTGGTAAAAAATTTATTAATAAATACAGTAGCCTACCAGGAAAAGACACTGATCGCGATCTTCATTCCTCCTGTGATCTTAAACCACTAGTCGTCTTCTTCAGTGTCAGACTTGAACAGCCTCAGAAAAACTTCAAACATCCTCATTTTCTCTTTCGTTGTTGCTCTCAACGTCACTTTCATCTCGAGACAAATTCACGATTTGATTTACGATTCGCACTTATTTCGAGTGGCTGCAAAAACTTTGTTGTGCCCCAATGAAGGGGGAAACTCCCACAGAGAGGGGGAGAGAACAGCAAAACCAAGTTTCATTGGTCCACTGTGACCTGTGCAGTCATTTCATTGGTCAGTTTTTTTTTTAAACCTTTATTTATACAGGTAGTCTCATTGAGTCGCGAGGACACACCCCCACAAAAGAGACCAAATTAGTTGCAGCATTGTTTAAGCTGCAGTGTTCAAAGCGTGTGAAAAAAGTAGAGACTTATAGTCCAGAAATTACGGTACTTCTTTGTTTGGTTTTACAACTGTATTTTTCAACTCTGCTGACACTTTTACTCAGTGTGAAATTCAATAGTGACCTGCAGAAGAAAAAGATGCTAAAATAAAAAACAGCTATGGCTCATTCAGATCTCAGATGAAGGAGCAGCTGATTGGAACACACACCGCGCCGTCTACTCTACACAAGTATCCGAGGAGCCCACATATTGTAAAGACAAGCACACACACAGAGAGACTGCGTGCTGGGTGTGTGCTGAACACGAGAAAAATAAAAATACCGCTTGCCTGTGATTGAGGAGACATTGTGAAGCACCCATTTCAGCACGCAAACAAACACATAAAAAAACATGGGCTTTTCTCACCTGTGATACTCGAGAGATGCATAAAAAAAATCATCTGCACCCACTTTAAAGCCACTAAAATACTCACTGGCTTTTGAAAATCTTGTGACCACAGCACTCCGCAAGATAAAAAACCCATAAAATCTCAGTTTGTCTAACAGTGCGAGTTCAACACACCACAAATCACTCCTTAAAAAATAAAAAAAATAAAACGTATACAACCTGGCTATGTGGGAGAAAATGTGCTTCCTAAAAGCTGCTACCTTACATGGCTTTGCAGTATGTTTCAAAAGCCTTCTATGACAAATAAAATACCATTAAATGTAGATTTAAGCTGCAATCTGCATTAAGTTATGACAAGTTTATCATCACTGACCTTCAAAGAACATCAAATATTGCCTAAAATAAACAGATTTTCTTACATACTGTACTATTGCACAAGCAGCTACATTCTTTGCTGTTAAAGGCACATTTTATTGGTGTCACCTCAGCTGAAGTGATGATTTTGTACGTTGAAATATTCCTAGATTCAAACCTGCATTGTGTTTATTCTTCCACTTTGCAAATGCAAAAGAACTTTTCCTTTTAAATTAAAATCAAAATGAGTAATAGGTTTTAGCATTGCTAGAGAAAGTTCAGTTCGCCTACCTTTCTCATGTGTCCACTGCGGGTGCCCGTGAACACCACGGTGTTTCCTCTGTAGTCATACGCTGCCACGGAGGTCATGCCGTCGTCCTTGTCCACGTATAGCGAGATGCCCTCGATGGCCTTCGTTCCTCCTAGTGGCTGGTTGAAGTCCTGGCCGCAGAAGTTATCGTCTATCTGCAACGGCTGTAGTTTGAAGACAGGAGGAAGACGTTAACTTCACTTTTTACATCTTTCAAATCTTCTTCGTTATTAAAGATAAAACATTCTGATTACCCAGCATAAATTGAATAATTTTCATTTTCATTTTGCAAAGTCTTAAATCCTGTGATTTTGTGACTTTGGCTCAAACTGATTTTTTTAATTAATTTATTTGGCAAACTTTTTTTTTCGCCCTCAGAGACAATTAAAAGTAATATATATATATCTATATATATATATAGATATATATATATAGATATCGACCTTGGTAGTTTGAAACTATTTCAGTGAGTAAAAGCTTAATTTGTAGAATTATTTTCATGTAAATGTGACGTTTGCAACTTGGAAAAAAAAAATCATGATTTTTCATTTGAGTTTATATTAAGGTCTTCAGTGATTTGTAAAATTACTAATCGTGTGTTTAAAAAGACGCAAAGAAATCCATACATTCATCCACCCATCCAATATCTTTTATCCATTTCTTCCTTTTAGGGTTACGGGGTTCGCCGGTGCCCATATACAGCTATCACTGTGCCAGATTCGGGGGACACATTGGACAGGTTTCCAGTCCATCACTGGGACACATAGAGACAAACGAGACAAACAACCATTCACTCTCTCACTCACACCTAGGGGCAATTTAGAGTTACCAATCAGTCGAACATGCATGTTTTTGGTCTGTGGGAGGAAACTGGAGTACCTGGAGAAAACCCACGCATGCATGGAGACAACATGCAAACTCCATCCAGAAAGGGCCCCGGCCGGTATTTGAACCGGTGACCTGCTCGCTGAGAGGCTGCAGCTCTACCAACTGCACCACCGTGCCGCCACACACTGAAATGTTCAACCACAAAGGAAATGGGATTTTGCCATCTGTGTAAGTGGCATTCAAAATCTCAAGCGTTGTAAGTTGAAAGAAACTTTGCAGTCATTAAAGCAGCTTTTTTTTTTTTTCTTTAGAATAAATCCCCCTAAATGCAAGGTTAAAAATAAAAAATAAAAAGTGTGTTTCTCTACTGGTGCAATCCTCTTCACTTTATGAAAGTAAGCTGGTGGATTTCAGTATAGAATCAAAAAAAAAATTTGTTTATTGCAGGATATACATTCATCAACTAAAGTCATTTAATGTTTGAAATACTGATTAAGTGCTGCTTTAGCAAAGTAATGTTAAAAAAAAATAGAGTCAGTGCAGTGCGTAAATGAAGTAAAGATGGAATGAAGATGGAGAGTCGAGGTGAATGCACAAACAGGACGCTGGTGAAGAGGACTGACAGGAAGTAAATTATAGGTCAGATTAGCATATCGTAATCAAAGTGTCTTGTACATGCTCATCGCCATGTTGATACGCTCATATGTCACAGTAACTCTACACATATATACTGAATGTGTGTGTGTGTGTGTGTGTGTGGGGACGCATGTGTGAGCGTGTAATGGTAATGTCATAAAAGCATGTGATGCCTGTCCACAAATCAGGAGGTTGCCCTGACACCGACATCTATGACAGAGATAATCAGCAGCACCTGCATTACTGCGATAGCCTCACACACATGCGCACAGAGATACACACAAAGACACGCACACGTCAAAGTCCACACAGAATTGAATGAAAACGAGACAGGTAGTTTTATTTTTTGTGTCTTTGATGTGAGTATGACTGCAAAATAACATAAAATTCACATTTCAATCAGATAAAGTGCAGATTTAAATGCAAACTAGAAAAACTGCATTTCCTGGGGAAATGCAGAGTGAATGCTTATTGCAGAAGGACTTGCTGAAATTTGCTAACAAAACATGTTGAAATGCAGCTGAAATGGAAGAACGAGCCTAAATTAGCAGAAAGAACACATATTTGCTGAAATAAGTTTATATAAGCAGGAAAGAGCACACAATTTTGAAAATAGGAAAAAATAAAATAAAAGAAGAAGCTTAAGTTACCAAAAGAAAGCAGGAAGTGCTGAAATGAGAGAAAAAAAGCTGAATTTGCTGAAAATGTCAAATTAGCACGAAAACAGCTAAATAGTTGCTGAAAGAGCAGAAAGCGCTGAAATTAGCATAATTTAGCTGAAAGGAGCACAAGTTGAAATGATCAGAAATAAGTTAATTAGGCTGAAAGTAGCAGAAATTACCACAAAACTTGTATTTAACTGAAAACAGCCAAAAATAACGAAAAATGCTAAAAATATATTAAAATGTTAGAACAAGCTTAAAATTAGCAGAACAAAGCAGAAAGAACACATATATTCCCAGTTAGGCTGAAAGAAGCAGAAATGAGCACCCAAAAGTGTAAATTATCTGCAAAAAGCTGAAACTAGCACCAAAAAAATAAGATAAATAAAACTGCTAAAAAGGCAGAAAGAAGTTTAAATTACCAGAGGGAAGTGGAGAGAACACATGTTTGCTGAATTATGTATAAACAATTTTTAATGAGAGCCATAAATGTGGAATTAGATGAAAATGCTAAAATTAGCATAAAACAGCTAAATAGTAGCTGAAATACCAATAAATACTTAAACTTGCAGAAATAAGCTGAAAGGAGCAGAAAGAAGTTAGAAGAACAAAAATGTTGTAGTTAGCAGAAAGAACCTGAAAGGAGCAAAAACAGCTGGAAAAAAAAACCCAGCTGAAAATATGTTTTTTTTTTTGCACAAAGAAGCTGAAAGAGGCTGAACCGAACAAAAAGTGAAAGGAGCAGTAGGTTGTAAACAGATCTAAAGGTTTGAAGGATGTAAAATGAGCTCTGTTCATTTTTTGTTAGAAAGAAAGTGGTAGAAAAAGATAAATATTTCAAAAAGCGAAACTTGCACCAATACCAAAAATGTGCAAGTGTAGTTTTTATCAATGCAAAGTAACACACAATTACTTTAAGTTTTATATACAGAATGTACTCGTCTCTCCCCTTTTGATGGCAGCGATCATGTAATCGCTTGTCTCGGTTGGTGTGAGTTTACTTATTTGTCTTTTAGCAAAATTTCTCATGAATAACTGGAGAGATGGTAAAAGAACTCAAAAAGTAAATCACTGGATGTACATTTACAAGGAAATTCTTTAAACTTTGGCATGAACTTTTAGGAACAACCCTGCTTGTCTGTTAGCAAAATATTTCACTGACCTTTCGTCAAATTTTAATTAAACTTTCAGAAAGTAATCACAGGAGGCTCTGTACATCTACAAGCGATTAACCTTTGAAAGAACCTAAATTCAAGATGGCTACCACAGCCAATCCGACATTGGTAAATACAGCTTGGGAAGATTTGTATCGCCTCAAAATATACTATTTATGAAGTAGTTGCCAAGTCTGTTTCTGTTGGGCGTTACTTTAAAAACTTTGACTTAAATCTGATTGGTTAAAAAAAAAAGTGCACTTCTTTTGAAATATTTAAATCATAAATGTCTACAACTCAATGCAGAAATAGAAAATAACATGTATACAATTTTGCATTAATTGCATATTAAATGTTATACACATTTTCAGGAGAAGATGCATGTTACATGCAGAAGGAACAATTCAACACACACACAAGCCCGATTAAGCCTCCCACACTAAACAAATTAACATGCCAGCTTTCTCTTGTTCATTACAAGACGTATCGTCTCCATGGAGACTAATCAATCACCACACCCCTTCAAAACAGCAAAGCTGTCAGGGTTCGTGTGTGTTTGTGTGAAAGTGAATGAGGTTGAGAAGAAAAAAAGGGAGGGGGGTGAAAAAATGCCTGTGGCGGACATTGTCTGCCTTCTACCAAACGTTCAAAGGCAGACAGAAACACAGCAAAGTTTAACTTGAGTGGACGAAAACTCAAAGTGACAAAGTGAGTGAGACAAAGGGAGTGGGAGGGAGCGACACACACTCACACACACACACTGACTCTGTTTTTTGTGTGCTTTACATAAACATGTTCTCAATTTGAGAACTGTTTGGCGAGTAATTTGAGAGGAGGAACGGAGATCACGGAACAACAACAAGAGTGGGTGATGCAGGAAAGATGGAGACCAATATGACAAACAGGAGAACAGGAAACGCAAAGAAAACTAAAGTTAAGAGAGGGACAAAGGCGAGAAGACGAGTGTGAGGAAAAGATGGAACAGGAAGAAATGGCCGAGGCTCGATGACAGCAAGAACTCTGGCCTCGGTTGTTTCCTCTGATAAGGACAACGGAACCAGCGCTTCACTCAATCATTTCACTCATTTCCTCTGTGCACGTCTCTTCCCCATTCACCCCACATTCTACTCACGCTGCTTTTTCACACTCTCGTCCACTTTTTCCTCTTTGCCTTGAAAAACCATCTCTTACATGTTGCTTTTTTTTTTTTTTTAAGTTCACAGGAACTACATGGAAATCATGTCTGTCCTAGAGATTTTTTTTTTTTTTTTTTTACTTGCCTCAAGCTTTTTCAGAACGTTTCCTTTACTATTTCCATTAAAAGCAATATCAGGGTTGATCCAGGGTTGCAAGCATTTACATGATTGTTAAAACAAAGAACTGGGTGTTTCTTTTCCAGAAATCATCCAATGAAATCGGGGAAAAAAAAAAATTTTAAAGACCTGCGGGTCAAAAACATTTCTATTAAATATAGTTTTCCTCCTCTAAAATCAGTTCTGCATTTTGGGGGAAGAAAACCAAACCAAGAGGTTTAAGTAACAAGAAACCAGAGTCAGAACTGTTTAAAATAGGAGTTTATAGGAGCAAAGTTAAGTCAGAATTTATTTATCTTGGGCAGCTCATACTTGTAAACTAATCTGCATTCCCAGTGTACATCAAGCTCACACACACAGAAGTGAGATCACCGTCTTTCCAGCGCCGTTGTCGGCATGCTGAGGACACTAATGATTTGTTATGTTTAGCTTGACTTGCATCATTACCATAGAGTCAACAGCTCAGATTGAGGCACAGTGGAGCGTTCAGTCAACGTGTTTTCGCTGCAGACAAATGTGGCCTCACACAGGCCTGACATCTGCTAGTTGTTGTTTGCCTTGTAGACATGTA